CCGCCTCGCTCTTCTGCAAGACGTTCCCCTTCCACTTCATGCTGGACCGGGACCTGGCCGTCCTGCAGCTGGGCAGCGGCCTGGGGCGGCTGGTGAGCAGGAGGGACCTGCAGGGGAAGCCTCGCTTCGGGGAGTACTTCGAGATCCTGAGCCCCAGGGTCAGCCAGACCTTCAGCGGGATCATGACCATGCTGAACGTGCAGTTTGTGGTGCGCGTGAGCAGATGGGACAGCTCGGCCAAGAGGGCTTCGCGGGTAAGGGCGGCCCGCGTGGTACGAACCGGGGCAGGGAGCCACGTGGCACAGCGGGCGCGTCTCTGCCTCAGGGGTGTGCGGCTTTGTGTCTGAAACCGCCCTGTAATAGTGTCAACCCCGCGAGGAGCTGCCAATCCTTACTGCGTTCATTTGCGTGGTTATTTGGTGCGTTACTTTGCAACTGTGGATAGCATGAATTCTGCCTTTTAAAATCTTTGTGAGGTATTTTATAACTCAAATAGTAAACGTTTAGGTTATATAAAAACCACCTGCTTTCAATTAAAAGCAATGTTTCACAGTAAACAAAAACCACGTGTTGCCAAAGGCAACGAGATTGATTTTTAATCAACGCTTAATAAACACGGAGATATAGGAAATTTGTTTGATTAATTGTTACAAAATGTGGGGCGGGCATGTTTTATAATGCAGTAGCCAAGCAGATAATTTTACAAATTATCTAACCTCAGGAAGGAATCTTAGAAAAAATTATTTAATCTAGGTCATTATTCTGTGCTAAAGCAGAATTAATTGTAGGCAGAGGTAAGAGACTCAGACTCAGACAATCCCAGCAAGTGCTACTTGTTTTGAAAATGAAAAGCACTTGATATTTTTTATCCTGACATAATCTCAATGTTTTATTTTATCTTGTTTTTGAGACAGGGTCTCCCTATGTAGTTGAGACTGATCTGGAACTCGCTATGTAGCTCAGGCCGGTCTCGAACTCACAGCGGTCCTCCTGCCTCAGCCTCCCGAGTGCTGGGATGACAGGCGTGCACCACCACACCCGGCCTAATCTCAATGTTTTAAAAAGAGATGATGTGCAAAGATACCCGCTGTAGCATTGGGTTGTGTACGTTCTGTTTACAGCAAGATTACAGCTGTTTCAGAACTGCTGCTGCCACTGCCCGGTGCACTTGGCTCAGCCTACAGTGCTGAGAGATGCAGGCCCTCCCTCTTCTCTGGGGATTCTGTGGTATTCCACGGCACGGCCCTGCGTGTTTCTTCCTTTAATCGCTTCCTGGAACCGTTGACCTCCGCCGCAGGGGACACACACACACACACGTTCGCATGTGTCCGCGGGATGCCCATGTATCTTTGGGGCCGTCCAGAGCTCAGGGTTATCTAGGTCCTTAAGATGAAGCTGAAATAGAATTTAGCCTCTTCTCCAAGATCCAGCCTCTCACTCTGAAGTTTCTGGAAAACTAACTTCCATAAGATAGCTCTGTGGTGCTACTGAGGGCAAAAAGAAAAATGTTAGGGTGAGAAATCTTACATTTGGATGTTTTGAACTTCTGTACCTGCCAAGTGGAACAAACAGGTCATGGGAGAACGGAGGAGAGAGATTGCTGGGCATGGCGGCCCATGACTACAGGCCCAGGCCCCTGGGAGCCTGAAATAGTTCCACAAGTTCCAGCCCAGCGTGGACAGCTGAACTGGACAAGACATTGTCTCATTATAATAATAATGAGGAGGAGGAGGACGATGACGAAGATGATGATGATGATAAAAAGGCTAGGCCTGTAGCTTAGTAGGAAGATCTGTGTTCAAGCTCCACTACCACCAAAAGAAAAGAGGAGGAGGAACAGCAGGCGGAGGAGAAAAGCAAGCTAAAACAGGAGAAAATAAATGGAAGAAGGAGGGAGGGGTCACAGAGGAAGGAACAGAGACTATGTTCTTTTCTCCTTTTTCATCAGTACACGTTTGTGATACCTGATGAACACATCCATCATGGGAGTTGTTGACGCACATGTCGTATCTTAGTGCTTTTTATTTCCCCTTCTCCTTCTCCCTCCATCCCTAGATCTCTTTTCCATCTGCAAAAGCTCAACCTCCCTGCTTTCATGAATATCGCAAATTATACAAAGAAATGTAACGCTAGGGCCAGGAGTTAAGCTCAGTGGCACCATGCCTGCCTCGCAAGAGCAAGGTCGTGAGTTCGATCCCTGGTACCAAAAAAAATGAAGTCGTTCTAGATTAATTGAATGATAATACCAAAAGACGGTAGGAGGGAGAGCACCAGCATGCTGCTTGCAAGAGAGACTTTGAAGCAAGAGTGCTCTGCACAGTTCATTGCAAATCAAGATTTCTGTTTAGTGCACATTCTGATATATTCTCCCAACGTCTGTGTGAGTTTCAGAGCCATAGCAAGTTGGAACGGTAAGAAAGAATGTAGGAAAGAAATCAGAGTTTAAATACAGTCTTTCCTCTCTTCATCTCAGAAAGGTGTTGGGCACTTGAACAAATCACAGTTGGTCTCCTTGGCTTTACAGGTCATGGATCTCAAAGGCCAAATGATCTACATCCTCGAATCCAGCACAATCTTGTTCTTGGGCTCCCCCTGTGTGGACAGATTGGAAGATTTCACGGGACGAGGGCTCTACCTGTCCGACATCCCCATCCACAATGCGCTGAGGGATGTGGTGTTGATAGGGGAGCAGGCTCGTGCGCAGGACGGCCTGAAGAAGAGGCTGGGGAAGCTGAAGGCCACCCTGGAGCAGGCCCACCAGGCCCTGGAGGAGGAGAAGAAGAAGACGGTGGACCTGCTGTGCTCCATATTCCCCAGCGAGGTTGCCCAGCAGCTGTGGCAAGGCGAGGTGGTGCAGGCCAAGAAGTTCAGCGACGTCACCATGCTTTTCTCAGACATCGTGGGCTTCACGGCCATCTGCTCCCAGTGCTCCCCTCTGCAGGTCATCACCATGCTCAACGCGCTGTACACTCTCTTCGACCAGCAGTGCGGGGAGCTGGATGTCTACAAGGTGAGGCTGCACTTGATGTTTAAATGAGAGGCTTTCTGTGCAGGTCCTGCGGGCCACATCCTGGGGACAGATGCTGTGCATTAATTATGTGGGTGTTCTCCAGCCAGAAATAGCTTCACATCAGCCAGAGACGGAGCGAATTATGTTGGAAAGAGCTGCTGCATTCTCTTGTCAAAGGATTAGCCCAGAATGGAGGGAGGACAGGCTGAGGGGAAGGCCTGGAGAGCTAGTGTTTTAGATCAATGGGACAGGTGCTTCACTTGGGATCAGCGGAGTTGTTAAGTGCACTATACCCCCAGATCTGAGTCATGTAGGGAAACTTTGTAAAAGGAAGGAGACGAGAGAACTATGAAACTGTCTGTAGACAGAGTTAATACAGAGTTTACATGACCCTTTTCATAGCCAGTTGCCACAAATCTGAAGCGCCTTCGTGGGCGTCTTTACAGCCCGGCCAAGAGCAGAGGAGGGGAACAAGACAGGCTTTCAGCTCTGTCCCCTGCCTCACCTGCTTTGCAAACTGAGCAAGTGAAATAACCTTTCTTGTTGCTAAGAAAAAGAAATAGCCACCACGACATCTTTATGCAGGAATGATACATTGCATCCCATAATATAAGTAGACAGGATTGCTGCAAAGATTGAAATAGGTTATGTACATGGGGTGATGGAAATATACGCTGGATGTTTCAGTTTTTGAAACTGCCGTTCATCCCCCTCAGAAAGCTCCCTCTTTCTCTGGACACACATAGCCCATCCTTCTTGTCTCTTTCTGAAGTATCTTTGTGAGACATGACTAGAAACTCAGTGAGTGCTGCCGCTGAGGGCCATCCGGCGGAAACGCGGGCTCCGGGAAACATTTCCGTGTGTCCTCGTCCATCTGATTCACTGCTTCTGACACCATGCCACCCACTTCCGGCTCTTCCCCCAAACCAAAATGACCGTGAAAGGTAAGCTTTGGGAATCTAACCCGGAGAGGCAGCCAGGACAGCACGACCGGCGATGTAAGGAAAGCGGACGCCCAGAACTGCTGAGAAAGGATTTGAAGTGAGGGTGAATATTCTAAGGGGTCAGTGGCATTGTGTCTGTTACCGTAATTTTGTTTGTTTTTTACATTTTACTGTATTTTTAAATCACATCTCAAGGTTATGGATCAGGCATTCGTGATTTATTGAGTAGCTATAATTAGCCAGGCATTGTCTCAAGCACTTATCAGAAGCGACTGTCCCTGACACGCAGTGAAGTTTTTCGATATAATTATAGTTAGGAAGAGAGTAAATGAAGAAATTTCAAGTACCGTTAGCTCCTTTAGAATTAAAAGCTTTTACTGATTTAAATTATTTTGCCTTGTTTTACATATAGGTCTTAAGAATAAAATATTTATCATATTTGTCAGGTTACAGTTGTCTGTTTAATTTGCTACATAACAGTCTGGAATCCCAGGGCTTAACCACATGAAACAGATAATCGAGAGGAAACAAATGTATTTATGGGAATGCCTTGTTTCACTCGAGAAACCAGGAGCAAAACCTTCCTTTGTGAAATTTCTTCCGGGAAATTCCAGACGGAGCTGTGAGGGGTGTGTATGGGGGGTTGAAGACCATGCATAATTACATGTAGAGTAATTGGCTTCAGTTAGGTGAAGTTTCAGGGCCTCTTGTGGAATTGGCCATATTTATTTGTAGTCTCGGTGCTCATCACCGAGAGTGAAGTCTTCCCCCACTGCGGACGCTGGGATAGGATTGGTGTCAGGAGGCGTGGCCTCTTCTGCTCAGGGTGCCTGATCATGACCATAGGGTGTGGTTTCCAGATACCTGACCAAGAGTTTCCAGAATGCACTAGAGTCCTGTAATGCATCACCTTCTCCTGGATCCTAATCCCTTCCATTTTCTTCTCATTCCACGTGAAAATCCCTGGGCAGAGCTGATGGTAACACGAAAAGGGTCTGAGCACCGGTGGGTGGCCACAGCCTGATTTAAGAGTACACTGACTCCCGGGGAATAGCCCACCTTATTTTCTCTGGGACCTGCTTGTGCCAGGGCTTGCTTTATGTATGTATGTGTGTATTTCTTGATTTGTATGTCCTTGCATTTTATCAGTGCGTGTTCGCGGTACGCCGTGAGCATTCCACGCGGGGAATCGGTCCTTAATCATGTCCGTACTTAACGCTTTTCGCTTCCCCCTCCTCCCCCTTCCTTCCTCTTCATCCGTGGATTCTCTTCCCATCTCCTACAGGTCTGCCTCCCTGTTGCCTATCATCTATCTTTTATTTTGCTCCTTAAATTATTTATACTTAGTGTCTCATAAGAGAAATCATGCCATATTTAACCTTCTGTGTCTGTTTTGTTTCACTCAAGTGTATGATTTCCAGGTACATCTATAAGTGGATATTTGTACAGAAAAAATTTTCGTTTTCTTTCTGTCTCTTGGTCTTTTGATCATGGCGCTGTTGAGATCTGTGCTCTTTTATCTATTGCTGTGTCAGACTCTTACTGTTTTTCCAGCATTTGTCAACATGAATGGGCCGTGGGTAGGGGAAAGCAGATGGGATCCCCAAAAGCTCACATACTGGGGGAGAAGGACAGAAGAGCAGCGCTAACTAGGGCCAGATTCCTGTGTGACAGGACCAGCGATCCTGCCCACACAGGCACCACACGCCCCAAGAGCAAAGGGGAGGCGTCCAAGAGCCCAACCACAGCTGGCGGCAGGACTGCTGGTAGTTTGTGTGACCGGCACCAGCGAGAGCTCGGCCCTCAGAGGGGCCTTCTGTGCGCTCATACCTGCGGAGCAGCGAAACAGCTGCCGCCACCTGGTCATTCCAGGACAACTTCAGGGCTATCACAAGGGCTCGTTTATTATGTGTGCGTAGGAAATTGTAGAGTTTATTATTGAGGTTTTGTCTCCTTCTTTGTTTCTCCTTCTCACTTTAATCCCTCCTCAAGAGAGGCTATGCTTAAGAGGAATAATTTGACCTAGTAAATTATGATAAATATTTAAAAGAGAAGAAAAGTACAACTAATAGAATGAGAGGAGTTATTTGTGAATTAAAATTAACATCCAGCTTAATGTGGCTGGTGTGATCGGGAGATTGAAAAGTTCCTGTAAGATGATGATGAAGATGTTACTGGGAATTTATAGAACAGCCTGATTGTCCATAGCCTGTAAGGCTCTCTTGTTTTTGTTTCTGGGTTTGACATCTTGACTTCTATCCTTTGTGATTCAGGTCTGTTAGATCCTTAGGGATTGTTATGAAACACCAAAAGTCCTTTAAAAAACCCTCACTCTTATTCTTATGACTGTTCACATCTTAACTTTACATTACACATTTTTACTACAGTTAATACAATAGTTATTGAGAGGTGACTTCATGCAAAACACTATTTAATGAGGGAGCTATAAAATGATACAAAATAGACCTGATATCTTAAGAAATTAATTTTGAGTGCAAAATATATCATTTGTTTCTACAAAAGCTATTTTCATGATATGAATTTGAAAAGAGATCAAGAGACATTGTGGGATAGTGGTGGATCCAGAGTAGAAGGCCCCTGATTTTTTTGTTCACATGACCGTGTGGCTGTGCAGTGCGGAACTGATGTAAGAACCTAAATGTTGTGAATTACCTGAAAGGGAAAGTCACTTCTGAGGGTTTCTGATTTACTCTGACTAATCAGAGTAATTTATCCAGGATAAAAGATTGCCAGAGCACTGAGGATTTGCTGTATGGTTTTTGATTTCTGCTATGATATATGCGGTGATTCTTCCTGAGCTTTTCTTTGTAATATGCCAAATTCATCACGACCAGGTGGAGACCATCGGAGATGCATACTGTGTGGCTGGGGGCTTACACAGGCAAAGTGACACCCATGCTGTCCAGATAGCGCTCATGGCCTTGAAGATGATGGAACTTTCTGACGAGGTCATGTCTCCACATGGAGAACCCATCAAGGTAAGGCGGACGGAATCATCCAGGAGAGGTCACGGGAATACATCCTCATTAGCTGATTATCCAAAGGAGATTGGTTAAATTGGGGTTTAGTTGCAGGGAGAAAAATCTTCTCTATTCTGTTATTTAAAAGAGGAGGACATTTATTAGCAGATATTACTAAGTGCCTACAGAATCACCGAGAGGACTGGACAGGTCATTTGTAAATTCACAGACACACTTCCAAGCCACTGCTTTCTCTGTGGCCTGGAGCCTGACTCCAGAGCTGCACCACCATGGGCTCAGCAAGAAAACTACCGTGTTCAGAAAATTGTTGCCTCTCCTTCTGACTACAGAACAAAATTGCACCTGTTCTAATTTGAAGGAGGAAGATGGATACTCTACACTGTGATATCAGAGGATTTTGGCCTGGAAAATGGTCCCTGTGCTAAACACACAGTAGAAAACCCAAACATGTCCACAGCTGTGCTCCCTTTCGGAGCAGAAGTGCAGTCACAGTGGAAATGGTGCCTTCCGCACCTCATACAGATGCATCTGAACGACTGACTTAAATGCATCTAGAAGCTGTAAGCCGTCTAGCTTTTATTTTTATGGCACTTACATTGAGGGTATTATGTGAGAATAGTTGTTGAGTACAAGTCCATCAGTATTTTCCAAGGCTTGTAACATGTTGAAAATTGTAAATGATCCATACTCCAGAATAATACCTTATTGTCGACAAAACTATCAGGCTAGCTCTTGGTATCCTGGATGGAGGCTGAAGGACCTGCTGCTCCATGTCCTACTAAGAGCAAATCTTCCACTGACTTTTTGTAGAACTGTCTTCAAAGGATGACCCTCAGACATGGGTCCTTGAAGCAAAATAGAATCCCATCCGGTGTGTTATAAAGTATAGAAAGAAGAAATAAAAAATTTTAAAACAACTGCTGTAATAAGTAGAGGATTTGTCTTTGCTTTCCTTTGCCTTAGCAGAAGCCATTGCAACTGATTTTTCAATCTGCTGCCATATATTGGCTCTGCTGCTCAATGTCTCGCTCCTTGATTGGAAGCACACTAGTGGCTGAGGGAGCCTGAATAGCTGAGGCTGCCATTCCAAGATGGCTGCGGGGTGAGGGTGGTGGACAGCTTGGACCCAGTCGGGACTGTTGGCCCATTGCCTTGTGTGGTGGTCCAGCATCACAGTCCTGGAGTGAACATGCTTCGTACATGGTGGCCCAGGTCCCAGCAAACGTGACTGATGGAGGCCATGTGACTTTTATGATCTAGCTACGGAAGCTGTGTGGGGACACTTCTGCTTTATTGTACTAGAGCAGCGATGTCTGCCCAGTAGGCAGCAGACTTGAACCCTGTGTCTGCACAGGAGGAGTGTAAAATAATTTGCAGCTGTTTTTTTTGAGAGCATCACATATTTTTCCATGGCATTTTCAAAAGACAAATATGTATGTATTCCTTTCTAATTTTTGTGCAGTAATTCAACACATCGAAGCAAATGTTAAAAATAACAGGGCCAGTGATTTCCACATAAATGAATTTCTTAAGATGGTAGAGGTGGAGGAAGGCAAGATTAATGGCATGATTTTCCTCATTTGTCTACATGGATTTTTGTATTTGGGAAAATTATATATAGCTAGCTTTACAGGTTGTACCTGGGTAATTGCAGGTTAGTTTTACTGAGAGGTGAAACATCATATAAACGTATCTTTTCATGTGTAGCCACTGATGGTCCCAGGAAATAGCAGATGATTTTAGGAGATAGGTGTGAAACATCCCAGAGGCAGAGGGGAGGGAAATGAGACTGGGTAACGGACGGGAGCAAGTTGCCATTGATATGTCTCACTCAGTCTGCACAGCAACATGATGAGGGGGACCCACGCTTGCTCGTGGACGAGCATAGTCAAGCCTTTATGAGTCAGGATTTGGAATCTGTCTATTTGGCTTCAAAGCCCAGACTTTGACTTTTTTTACTCTGGTCTGTCATGGAATAGAAAGAATGGAAAGAATAGAAACCGTCTCCTTCTCTCCTTTCCAAAATCTGTGCTCTTCTCCACTGTGCGCCGTGCACCGAATTCCTGCCCCTCCCCTTGCCGGTGCCCTTGGAAGCCTCTCGGTTGGAGAAGCACAGGGGAGCTGCGGGCACGCTACACCAAGGGTCGGAAAGTAGCAGGGAACATGCAAGACAGCTTGTGGTCTCCTCCTCTGCCGCGCCTGGCAGCTGGCATGGCAGATGAGCTGAGGCAAAACTCCCCAGGTGTCCGCATTCTGAGTCTTCCATGATTCCACGCCAAGGCTTTGTCCTGGGAAGAGAGGTACATCCAGGGCATCACGGGCATCACGTATCTTGGATCATTTTCTTGCTCATGAATATAAAAATCTCTGCATGAAAACCGTGGGGTGGATCTGAGGTTGATAACAGAAGAGGAGTCATGGAAAGTGACACTGAGAAGAATCAGAAAGACTGGCTTAGTGAGGGGAGTACATTTACATAATATTTATGAAATAATAAAATTGCTATGGTGTATTTATCATACAAAGTTACAATAAGTATACAGAGAAAAACTGATTAAAGGAGGCCCAAGAGAGCAAAAAGTTCTAATCCGATATGTGCGAAGTCATGGCTTATATTTCGGGGTAGAAGACAGTTTTCTACTATCATTTTTTATTGTATAGTTTTTAGATCTGTAAAATCTCCAACTTCATAAGGTAATGTTTCTGTTGGAAAATATCTTAGAATTCATGATACAGCATCTTAAGAAGCAAATGATTCTGGAAAGTTGGTAGCAGATACCCGAAATAAGATGGAAAAGTGGGCAGAAATGGAGTCCACTGATTTGGATTTGGATAAAATTTGGAAATAGCAAACATGGCATCCGTCGTACGAAACGTGTTAACTTGCTTTGTTGTGGTAGTAGCGTCAGACCTGATGACAAGGTAGGCCTGTGCCTCCGCCTTGTAGTAGCAGGGACTGCAGGTACCACTTACGGTGCCTGGCTTTTCAGAAACCCGTTTTAGATCCTTAGAATCAACTTCTCCTGTCCTTCTCTGTCCCTGTTTGGGAAACAACGCCGGGCGTTCAGAAGCTACGTCTTGCTTGCGTGGTGCCAGAACTGCTTTTCACCACCAGCCCTGTTTGCTCTGGGACAGCGATGGGGTGTGACTCCGGACCACGGAAGTTCACCTTGAACACCGAAGGTGGTTTGTTTAATAAACTTCAGTGCACCCGTGGAGGAGACTGCTCATGTTGCAGTGGTGATTTGTACTTGCTCGGTGCAGAGCAGAGGGGAGTTGCCTGGAGGCTTTGAGGAAGGGACTTGTACGATGGGAATTCCTGGTAAAATGATTTTTAAAATTTTTAGTTTATCAGTCTGTGTGCAGCACAAAGCACTCGCACCCCTTGTGGGAAGCTGGTATGAGCGCATAACTCATCTCACTTCCGTGTTTCATCCCCTTTCCCTTTCCTCTCTCCCGTCTCCACCCACCCCTTGATTCCCCCTTTTGGGGCACATTCTTGAGTACACAACAGTTGCATTTTCGCGTGGAGCTGGTGCCTGTGCGTGACACACCCCGATTCCTCCTGTTCATCCTTTACCCCCACCAGCCAGTCCCTTGTCCTTGATCCCCTTTCCCTCGGAAACAATCTACCTCCCCACTTCGTATTGTTTTCTTTGACTCTCAGTTTCTCATAGAAGGGAAACAATGTGATATTTAAGCTTCTGTGTTTGATTTATCTCACTAACATTATAGGCTCAAGAAGTATCCATTTTCCTACATGACTCAAGTTCGTCTCTCTTTAGTGCAGATGGGCCCCGTGGGGTGTAAATGCCTCATTTTTGTTTATCCATTCATCTGTTGACAGACATGTAGGCCACTTCCCAAATTTAGCTATTATCAGCTGTGCTGACCCAGCTCTTCCCTTTCTTAAGGCTGTCGTACTCCAGAGACACGTGTGTACCCACGTTTGTAGTGATATAATCGAGACAAGGCATTCAGACAACACTGTCCGGTGGGAAGTGGTTTACCAGTGACCATGGCATTGTTGATTTTGCTTTCAGATGCGAATTGGACTGCACTCTGGATCAGTGTTTGCTGGAGTCGTTGGAGTTAAAATGCCCCGTTACTGTCTTTTTGGAAACAATGTCACTCTGGCTAACAAATTTGAGTCCTGCAGTGTGCCACGGAAAATCAATGTCAGTCCAACGACCTACAGGTACGCATAGCATTAAGCACTTGTAAGTCTCTGTTTTTAGTTTTGTACAATTTTCACTTTTTCAATCGATTTCATTCATTCTCCACGGGCCTTTCTTAGCTGATCTTGAAGGAAAAGGAAAGCAATAATGTTTGTCACCCTCACTTCACCTTGGTCCTCAGATGCTCAGGCGCCTCGTGTCATTTGGTAGCCTGATGGCAGTTCTTCAAGGATGTCCCAGCTCCCTCTGTTCTTCTTTGGAAAGCCTTTGTTCATGATCTCAGCGCATCAGGACAGAGCCCGAGAGCAGCTGCTGCACTGCAGGCCGAGCCTAGCATGAGCCCCGCTGGGCCAGCATCGTCATAACACAGACTGAAGGGTACAGCACCCGAGACATCTGCCCGTACCCAGGTGGCAGACACACATTGGGCCCTGGGGCTACAGCACTCTGGGCTAGATGGCGTGGAGTCAGATGCCCCCAAGACCTCGTGGGGTGAACAGCTACGCCGCTACAACCCAGAGTCGTCACACTTCTGTCACACTCACTGAAAAGGCACATAGGGTCAGCCAAGTAACAGTCAGACGAGCTTAGGCCTGGGAGGGTCACAGACACAGAGCTCCCTGTCTCCTGCCTTATGAGGTCACAGAATGTTGCCCTTCACATCAGTGGGTTCACCAGCGAGAAAGAGCCACTGAACAGGGAGCTTCACTGTCTGTACGCATTGCTCTGATTACGTAGATGCGGTTGATGGATTCATTGGCCTTGAAACTGAACTTAGTGCCAGCACCTCTGGTTTCCCCTGGGCCAGGCCAGACACTTTTCAATGATATGATTGATTTTTCCGGGGTCCTGCCCTGTTCTGTACCAACCTGTTACCGTAAACTTCACCGGTGATCCAGAGAACTTGCAGAAACAGGATACTCCTGTAACTCCTGGGTCCCTTCCTATAATCAAGAACAGGACCAATCAAATTCTCTATTATGCTTCAGTGCTGAAGAAATAGAACACCAGCAGGTCACTAAATATGTTTCCAGGTCTTCAGTCTTACGGACTAGTGGCAGATCTTCACCTAGTAAGATGGGAGCTGTGTCTCCTCGTGCATCCAGAGGACACCTTTCGTCCTGATATTTTGCAGAGGGCAACCCGAGTCACTAAAATCTTCAATCGTGGTGTCTCTTAGCTACCTTGAGCCAGAAAATAAACCAACCATGCAGGCAGAAACATACCTGTGGTTTACATTGTGTCACATTAGAAAATGTTAATAGAAGCCCTTAAATAAAAGCGTTTTCCAGGCTTCTGTGGTAGGTAGATGATCTTTCCTATTCTTGGAGATGCCCCTTTGGGAGTAGCATCTGCTTTATGAAAGCTCCTTTCCAGCCCACCCAGCTGTCAACTGCTTTGTACATCACAGCAAAAGCAGGAACTGCACCCCTGCACATTGTGGCTGCCCCAGTGCCTGTGTCTTGTTTCTGTGGCACTGGTCCAGCTCTAGCGCTGCTTGAGTACAGTTTTGCTCTGAACATCGTTCCCTGTTACCTCCTCAAGAACTGTCCTGCTTAAAAATAACTGCCTCTGTCCATGGTCCATTTCTCTCGGGTGAAATGATCCTTGCCCGTAGAATACAAATATATCTTACTATAAAAGCTCTTGAGAACATGCAGCTTCTGTTTTTCTTCCAAGTCCATCTCCTGCTACCACCTTATATTTCCACTTCTTTATTCAGCAAATTGCAAAGGAGCTGGCCAGATTCACTATCTCCATTTTTCCTATGTCTTCCTTGCTCATTCACAGGCCCATCAGTGCTTGTTCCTCTGCCTCACTGAGACGGTTCTTATCCAGGTCATCTGTGCCCCTGGCTGAGGTCATGGCCACTTCCTTCCTCCTCGTTTCCCACACCTTCTCAGTAGTAGTCGAATAGCCTAAGCAAGGCATCTTTCCTGAACACAGTTTCTTAGGGTTTTTGGTGGTATGCCAACTTGGTTTTTGCTCTGTCCCATGGCTGCACCATCTGAGGGTCCACAATTCTGCTCCTTTCCCATCACACCTGTCTGTGGACACCGTAGTTCCGGTGCTCTGTTCCTATCTGTGAGCTGGGGATGCAGGCGGACACCTGTGGCTCTAGTCACTCAGGAAGCCAAGGCTGGAGGATGGGTCAGCCCAGGAGCTCCAGGGCAGCCTGGACAACACAGCTAGATTGTGTCTCAAGAAAAGTGAATTAATTAAATTTAAACATGAACTTTGATGACTCCACATTAAAAAAAATCTCTAATCCATTACATAAATCTCCAAAGAGACTCAGACTAATTAAATGACTAATTGACATGATAGAACAACATCCCACATACTATCTCCTCATAGAATCCACCTTCTCACTCAGCCAGTTCACTGATCGCCGTCCAGCAGCTCCACCATCTGCTTAGTTACTCAGACCTTGAACCGCACCGTGAATAGGACTTTTGTCCCTCCTGGCTCTCCGCTATGCCTGCAGGTTGCATCCAGAGGGAGCAGAGTTCACCCCTCAGCCTGCGGTGCGCCTCAGGACCGACACCATCTGCCTCTCCTTCCTGCTGACTGCTGGAACACAGGCCTGGGGCAGCTTTTATTCCTTTGAACATTACTCTGCTTTCCATTTACTCTTACACAGGAAGTACTTTTTGGTTGTTTTGTTTTGTTTTGTTTTGAGTATCGGAAATTGAACTCAGGACCTTGCACTTGTGAGGCAGGCATGGTGCTGCTGAGCTAAATGCACGGCCCTGGTTATGTTTTAGCTAAAGGGCAAGCAGCAGTTAACATGTCTTATTTAGACAAGAAATAAACACTATTTCAAATTCCTTTCTTTTGGAGGTCTTTTATTTTTTTCCATGTGATAAGCAAACTTGAAACATCATTTACATTTCAATCAAATGCCCATGCTTTGTGAAATTTGGTTAATATTGGTACATGGTTTTCATTTACTCAAGGCAAGTACATACTATTGGATCATGTACAAATATAAAAGAACAGAATTTTGGGTTGGCCTTTCTCATATAATAAAATAATCTTCTAAATATCAACTGTGGGTAGCTTCCCTGATATATTTATGAAGTTTATGTACTCAGAATACAGAATACATCCATATACCAAAAATCCTTACCTTCCAATTTCACTTTCTAAATTTTAGTCAGTGATTCACTGTAGGAATGTAATTATACATTCTGTCAGAATGACTATCATACAGTCCTTTCTTTAAATGGCATAAGGAGTTTTACTTTTATTCTGGATGACAATACTGTGTATTTCTGTTTGTGTTGATATAAGGAAAACTAGTAGAGACTGCGTCAGACATGGTTGAAGTTGCATGTCTGTGAATTAACAGTGGTTTCCTTGGAGACCTAGGCATCACCAAAGGTAGCGGGCAGGTGGGGGGTAAAAGTGTGTGTGTGACCCCATGACAGGTGGACGATTTTATTTGTAGGGAAAGTCCAAGAACATAGTAGTAGAGAAACAAGACTTGACTTCTGTCAAAGGGAAGAATAAAGTGAATAAAGGAATATAGGAAAGATATCAAACACAGGAGAGTTCATGCAATAACATATTATCCGATCAAGGCAGAGAAGGGAAAAGCTCATGGCACCTGACAACCTCTGGATGGTAGCTTCTCTTACGAGCATCACTGCCATCAAACTTTCAATGATGTTATTTTTACAAACTGTTTTTCTTATAAATTCTGGTCTTTTTAAAAAGATGATTTAGTGAACATTTCTAACTCTGTGATACAATTGTGTTTACGTCTTTAAAAAAAAGTAGGATATGTATTCAGAAGATGTACCTTAGATTTATGATCTTTGATGAGTTTAACATATATTTTAAGCCTCTTATAAACATCGAAAACTTTTACATACATTTTAACATAAATTATGATTGTAACTGTCATGTTCAGTAAGAGATCTCAGTTTGATGTAGGTAGAAAAGTACATGTATCAATCATCTTTAGTTTTGTATATATTTTTTAGGCACTGATAGCTTTATGCAATTTGATATTTAATTTTTAAGCACATGGAAGACATTTTTAAATCTGACTGAAGGCAACAATATGGCACCCACTGTAGCAAACAGCAGTATTTCTCATGCCTACATTTATCACATCCGTTGAAGAACCACATTATAGAATAAATGAAATATAAAATAAATATATAAATATGTAGTAATGTAAATAAAAATAAAGCTAAAATAAGAAATAGAAACATACAAGAATTAGGACATTGTGTGCCCGCCATCCTGCTTTCTGACACAGCGGATCTTGCAGCCTTCAGGGTGAGTAGGAGGGGGCGGAACCGGTGCTACCTGCAGAGCAGAATTACAGACAAAGGAGCAGAAAGACTCAGGAATGCGCTTGCAGTGGCTTCTCCCAGGTCACCAGGGATGTCAGGTCAACGATAATGTCAGCTGTTTCAATTACCAGGAAGGAGGAAGGGCAGAAAGAAGCCAGAAGAGTGACACCCACTCAGGGCCCTGACAGAAGAGTGAAGCCAGAGAAAAACTGGCTCCTGCCACCCAATACATCCACAGCTTTCTATGACTTATTTTGAATCTTTTCAATATTATGTTTTGTGATTTCTTTACGTGGATGAAACAAGGCTCTAATTCACATAAATTTAGTTCATTCATTTTGACTATTCCTCTATGCAGTGGTTTACCAGAAAATCGGCTTTGTGGAACGAGAAATCAAAGAAAGAACCCTAATTTTTCTGTGGTATCAACATATGCTCACTCTGGCAGGAAGAATTCAGGCTACAGATTTTGTAATCATCTCGTGCAGTGCCTGGTAAACTGTTTTAACACTATGTTTCACAAGCCAGTAGGAGTCAGTTCCAGCACGTCACGATGTATGCATGATGTATGAGTTGCATAGTACTAGAGTATGAAAAAGCCAGAGTCTGTCCTCTACTCATCGCTAATTTGAGTGCCTTTTAAACCAAAATTGTGTGCCTTTTTAAAAGTAGCCACTCAAAAATATCGATGTTGGTAAGGAAACAATATTGATGTTTGTAGTGAAACCACAACTATCATCAGTTTTGTTTTGCAGATTGCATTTTGATTGATATGTTGGTAAAACTTAAGAGAATACTCACATGTAACTTTCTGCTCAGAGATAGTTTCTTGACGCATGTATTTTTATTCAGTTCATTTCTTCAGTACATAGGAAATCGTCAGGGTGCCAAAATACAACCAAATACCGTGGGTCCCTTTCCCTTCCGTATGACACCGTGGAATGGCAAACAGGGCCACAGGCTGCTGAGCAGGAATGAGATATAATTTTCTGTAGAGGCTGCTTTAGAGCTCAGAGTTACTCAGTGTTTCTCATTCTGGCCTGAGCAGCAGGTTAGAGAGAACCCATATTAAGTTCAAATTTGATAGAAAGCTGGGGAAACAAATGGAAAGTGGAGTCAGTAACTAAATCAGGAAGATTTGAATTTAAAATGAGTTTATCTTGAAGGACAAGCAACACGTAACAAATAATGAAATTTGGTAACCAAGGAATTTTACAAGAGAAATGCTGCCAATACTTACCAAAAAAGTAAGTAGAGTGCAAATACGTGCAACTAAATCTCATAAAATTTCTACTGAAATATCAAAAAGCATTCTCACTTCACTTTTCTTTCACAAATTTTACCCATAATCTATCTCTTCTTAGTAGTTTTTACACAGTTAGCGAATTGATAAATGGACCAGTGTCTCACACTTTCAATTTAGAAAGCTTTATTGAGTAGCATTATATGTGGGATTTGTTATTATTAGACTATTTTATTTTATTTTGGGCAGTTATTTTAATTTTAGTATTTTTAAAAGATTGTGAATTGGGCCAGGGGTTTGGATCAGTGGTGCCTCCGCCTGCCTCACACGCACGTCCTGAGTT